AATGCACCTGCAGACTGCTTTTTTGCTCTGAGCGGTAACCAATAAAGTAAGAAACATTGTCCAAAGAAAAATTGCAACAAAATTTTAGGAAAAAAAAGAAAGATGATTCTGATTAAATAAAAAATAATAAAAATTTTAGTAACATTTTTTCTTTACAATCAATACCGTAGCGTTCAAAAAAAAAAAATTGAAATCAAAGAAATAGAAATGAATAGAACTAAGAACCAGTGCAAATGTATTCAGATGGATTCCAAATCATGTGCCATCAAATAACATTTCAGCTTATTAATTTTTATTATGCACAAACAATAGTGACAAAAAAAAAAAAAAGAGAACGAAAAGCAACAATAGCAAAAGGAAAAAATTGAAATTGTCAACTCGCTTCAAACAAAAGGAAAAGGTTGAAAAAAGAATTTCTTACCGGCCAAAATGCTAGCAACTCCAAAAAGGAGTAATAGCAACAGATGCGTTAGACGCATAATTGTCGTTTACTGTTTTGCTGGATGAACCGCAAACAGGGGGAAGGAAAAAAATGGGAGGAAAGAAAGAAAAGAATCTTTTATTTTATTTTTCCTTTTTGGAATCCAAATAAGGGTTTTTTTACCAAATTAAGCCAAGTAGTAGCGTCAAGAAATTAATAATGGGAAACAAGGGATGGATGGGTCTCGTCGCTTTTTTCTTTTTCTTTTTTTCAAATTTTTAAACCACTCTTGTTGTTGTGGTGCAAAACAGCGACAGCGAAGGAAGAAGAACACCGCCTGCTATCACCGTTCACGATGAAACACCCAACGGACTGCGGACGGATTGAAACGATTTTAAAATGAAAGGCGGGCTAATCACTGCTTTTCACTGATTAGTACAGTTACGTAACATCGTAATTTGATAGTAACATATCAAAATTTCGACGTATCAATGATGACATATTATGGTTGCTGCTATTTTTCCTATTGCTGTTACTGTTGCTGTTGCTGTTGCTGTTGCTGCTATTGCTATTGCTATTGTTATTGCTAATGCTTATTGCTATATTACTATTGCTGTTGCTATTGCTATTGCTTTTGCTTATTATTGTTGTTGCTGTTACTGCAGTTGAAAACGTTGTTCTGGTATCACAACTTGCCAATGCTACATTTGCTAAACTGCACCTAATGAACACCTTAAAAAAAAAAA